ACTCGCACAAAAGCATCAACGCCGCGATCGGCTAACATCAAAGCAGAAAGCGCCTGGGAAAAGGCTTTTCTCACCTGCTGCGTTTGCTGTCTCTGGATTGCCCTCACCTTCGGCACAGGGCTCTCTCTTGAGGATGATGACTGCTGCCGGGACCGGCTCCCGTTCTGAACAGGCTCGGTCCCCACGGCCCCCGACGCGGCAGACATGCTGCCCGTGCTCCGCAAGGAAGCGCTGTGCGGCAGGGACTGCGGGGCCTTGGCCCTGGCGCCCAGCCCGGTTTGGTCCATTTTGCGGATCTGGGCTTGGCTGCTGCTGTTCTGGCGGGGCAGCGCGATGGGGACGTGCTTGTCCGGGACCGTGTGGCGCCGGGAGAAGTCCTCGCTCTGCGTGCTGCGCTTGGTGAAGTCCTCCATGCTGCTGTTGCTGGGGCCGCTGAGTTTGAAGTCTTCGCTGTTGCTTCGGCTCCGGGAGCTGGCCGTGCTCAGGTTCTCCAGGCTGGAGTCCACGGAGGCCTTCGGCATCGGCGGGGTTGGGTTGTTGAGGTGGTACACGGGGTTTTGGAAGGACAGAGGCTGGAGGCTGCCCTGCTGGTTCAGAGCCGGGTGCAGGGGCCTCCTCACCTGGGGAGCGCTCTGGGGCGTGCTCTGAGTGTCCCACAGCTGCTTGATGCTGGCGACCTGCGTGATGGAGAGCTGGCTGCCGGCCAGGCGCAAAGGCACGTCGTGCAGAACAGAAGCGTGGTCGCTGTGAGCCGTGTGAGGATCTTGAAGGTCCATGAGAGAGACGCTGCGTCCATTGGGTAAGACGCTTTCCCGTTCATCCTTATCCGAGTAGGTCATGCTCTGGGTGGATGCTTGCTGAACCAACAGTAAGGTCTTGCCCCTAAAATATCCGTCTACGTTTTCCTGGGTTGGAGACTTCAGCTTATGCATGTCACTGTGGAGTGGAAAAGGATTTGGTTAATTTTTAAGCAGCCAAGACCCTGAGAGATCTGTCCCCAGAAGTCTTTCTACCTCATTTAACCTCCCCCGAACTGAGAGCTTCAACGAACCAGATTTCCCTTTACGAGCTCTTTGTGTTCAAGTCGGAACACACTCTTCCTTAATTACCGCTTATCCTGAAGAATTACATTTGATTCAAGAAGTGCTTCATCTCTGTTTTTCACAGGTGAAATGCAGCTCATTCCCACCAACGCCAGCCCCTTAGATACTTGGGTCCCCGGCAAGACTTGAGAGCAACTCAGATCCCAATTAACCCTTCGCCAGCATTACACGTTGTGGCTGTCTGAAGATCAACAGGAGTTGTGTGCCGGCTCCTGTGGATCCAGACGGAAGCTCTGAGGGCAGACGTGTGTCCGAACTGGCCCTCCTACCTGATGGCACAGAAACTGCTCCGAGGCCACAGCAGCCAAGCTCCTTGGCAGTTCTGCCACATCACAGCCTCTCGCTCCAGCCTAACAGCTACGACAGTGCGAGGAATGCTGCGCTAGACAGAGGAGGGGCCGGTTCTGCTATTCCATGGGCAACAACTTCCATCTGTAGCCCAGTTTTTTCATTAGCGGGAGATAAACGTTACGGCTGCCTGTGCATCTGGACGCTGACTGGCACCAAATTGCAAGGCTGGTGTTTGCAGCCAAAGTCACTGGCTCCCAGGGATGTCTGAGTCGTGGGGAAGTCAAAAAACCTCAGCTCTCCAGTCCACCCTGTGCACTCCTACTGGGATTGTGCATTCCCCACGACGGAGGCCCAAGCACCCCGCTCCTACCGCTGCCCTGGGCAGACAGTTCCGGTGACGGAGCACTCAGCTCTTCACAGGTTTAAAATACCGATTCCCACCCCTTCCCCTGAGCTCTGGCTGGTACATACCCATCAGTGGGGTCCTCAAATATCTTCTGAAGCCCTGAGGAGAGACTGCCACTGACGTTTGGACTAGAGCTGTGCTCAGTGAAACGCCTCAGCTGCTGCTGTATCGGCGTAGGGTTGGTCATTGATTTGGTGATATCGGCAAGAATACGAGGAAGAGGTCCCAGTTTTGCCACGGTCGCCTGTAGGAAGGAATTTTCACCCTAATTGGACAACAAGCACCGCGACATCCGCCAGGTTTTTTTGGTGCACAGAGGCGGAGGGGTGGAGGTGGAAGGAAGGAGGGTGGGTGGTTGTGTGCGGGTGTGCCAGGACCGTAATGCAGTGTTACGGAGCAGCGTAACCACGGCGACGAGATGGATGGAGGAGACGAAACGGGGTGCAGCAGACATTGAGGAAAGAAAAGGAAATAGAAAAGAAATTAGGATTGACCCCCAAAAATAAAAAATCATGCTCAATAAAAACAAAACTATTGCCATTCCAATGCAAAACTATCATGCAAAGCGAACTCAGTCCAGGGTGGGTGAGGTCAAAGTGAAAACTACGGTGTCTACTCATTAAAGGGCATACAAAGACCACAGATTTGGCTAATGGGGGGAACTTTCCAGGCAAAGGGTGTCATGTGGTAAAGGAAATGCATGCCAACAGACGAGGGGATGCGGCATTCAGAGGGATCATGAGAGAATCGCAAGGGTTGAGGGACATGGGGAAAGGGAAGGTTTTCGTATCATAACCCTTTCGCTTTTGGCATCCTACACTGATGCCATCTTCTGCAGCCCCCTCTCATCAACAATCAGCATGTTCTCCCCTACCTAGAAGTGAAAAAAACCTGCACAAAAAAATCCATGATCCTCATCCCAGCATTATCCCATCAGCCTGGGACTAAATGTGTAGCTTCTTGTTCAATAACGCGCTAGCTCAGTGCTGGCCAGGCCTAGGATGAGAGCAGCTGACCTTCTGGCAAGGAAGGCTGCTTGTTCCAGCTCTTTATCCTTCTCCCCTCTTCGGGTCTCTGCTGGTTATACCAACCACAGGGCATCTTCGGGCCCTGGGGACTGCAGGAAGGAGGGAGAAATGCTGGACATTTATAAGCAAGTAAAAGTCTGCTAAAATGTTTTTCCAAAAATATCCTTATTTTTCCTGCAAGCGGGTACTGGGGCAGCTGGCATCCCGAGAAAGGTCTCTTTACAGACATTTTCATACAGCATTTCCCTGTGGACATTCAAATCTCGGGGGTGACTTCTCCCATCATTTCCCAGTCACTACCCACAGTACAGCAGGGTAATTCCCCACTTAACTCTCTGCTTAGCAAACCCATCCCAGCTCCCAGAGGCCTGTTAGGATGGATCCAGGCATCTAACCCACAGAAAGGGCAAAGCAGATCCGGTTTGACTCTTTATCCAGGTCTGGCCCCCTTCCTCACTGCCCAAGACACTCAGACCGCTGCACCCGGAGGGCAGCTCACAGTAACTAGCACCAAGCCCAAAGATCCGTTTGCACGTCGAAGGCTGAAGCTGGGTTTCTCTTGACCTGACGCCTGACCAGATAGCGACACTCCCTGCCCTGGTGGGTTTACCCCAGTTTGTGGAAATGGAGGATCCGGTCTTTGGAGTCACTTTGCCTGTTTTCCTGAGGCTGCCCAACCATCTTTATAGCTGACTTTGCTGGCTGCAACACTTTGAATGTACGCTGCGTGCAGGTATGGGGGAGAGGGAAAACCAAGACCACCCGCTGTTATCAAACTACGATTAACTAAGAGGAATAGATACTGTCCTTTTGAGTCAAGGACACTGCAATTTACTCTGATGCAACAAGCTCAGGTTTTTTGGTTTTAAGTAATGTACTGTGAGAAAATAGATACCCAACAAATAACTCTTCTGGCAAACCTCAACGCAATAAAAGTATTAAGAGTACGTTGCAATTCACCTCACCTCTCCAGTTTCAGAAGAGCAAACAATATAAATGGAATATGGACAAAATAATGCACCTCTAGAAGCTGAGCTGTGGAACGGTTCCAAGCACTTGCCAAAAAAATAAAAAACCAGACTCACAGCGCAGCTTTTCTGGGTCTTATCAGCCACCTTTGCTATTAAGGTTTTAATGATTTTGGATCCTGCAAAGCTACGCCGCTAAAGAAGAGCAACCTACTGCCTTTTCTACTTCTACAGCCAAACAGAAGCAATGCTGCTTGTTGGCCATGTCACTGCGATCAACGTAACGGAATCTGGACAATGTGTATGATCCCAGCACATCCACAGCAGAAAGAATCTTGGGTTTTCTTGCCAGGATAAAACTGAGCAGGGAACCAGATTTTTACCTGGCACCCTCTTGTGTATTGCAAACTAATCCAAAGCCTACAGAAATGAGAACATCCCAGCAGGCTTTGGATCAGGTCCTTAATGAGAACAGATCTGCGTGGCCAACACGTTACCCCACCAGAGATGGGCACAGCCTGGTGCCCAGCAAAGCACCTCCGTTCGCCCCAAAAGGGGCGCTGCATTTCATTTTCTGTCCAAGCACACCCCCCCCGCCTTTTTTGCAGCTCACTGATGAGAAGGGACTGGCCGCTCAGGGAATTCCAGGTTTACTTTTGAGCGCTGCCCTCTCCACCCTTGAACACCCGGCCTTAAGGCTCTGCAAAGTGCCTGCACTGCTTGGAGCCCAGCCGCCTCACGTGCCCTGCTCTGGGCCCTGACGCCAAGAACAATTGCGAAATCCCACGCGCAAACATTCCTCTCCAAAGCTTTTTCTCCCCAAAGCAGGCTTCAGCTGCTCCCTTGATGTTTCCTCGTGTTTACTGTTGCTACGATACAATCGCTGGATTCGCCCCCCCGGGCCTCCGGCCTGCTTTACCTTATCAAGCTGGGACACAACCTCCCATAGGAGGGAATGCAAAACGGAGAGCTCTCTGCCCAGGTCGATGTAGCCCTCAAATCCAGGCATGTTTGAGATGGTATCTGGATTAGAGATCTCCAGGAGAAAACGCTTCATTCCTCCCCATTCGTGTTCCAAGAAGTCATTCATGAAGGCCATGTACTCTTCCTTATTACCAAACCTGCCAGCGAGAGGAGGGGGGAAACCCCAGTCAGTCACCCCAACATCAAACAGAGTGCAAGTGCCTACAGACAGCAACAAATGCTTCACTTCAGACCTGCCTTTCTGCAGATTTACTCTGGGAGAAAAAAATTACAGAGAATTGAAGTTATTCACTGCTTTCTTGGGCTTATTTCAATATTAGTAACTCACTGCTCATATTATGATTGAGGGCTAACACATCTCTCCCCCCTTCCTCCATGGACACCCTTTCTCTTCTCCCCTTCTCTGCATCTCCTCCCCTGTAAGAGACATGCCATCCCCTTTGTACGGTTCAGCTGGACATCTGGGACGAAGAAAGGAGGAAGATCACTGTCCTTGGTGGGAAGAGGCTTTTTTCCTTTTGAGGCAGCACACACACACACATGCTACTGCATGGCTCTTCCTGGTTTTATACTGTCCCCTCTACCGAATTCGACACAGCCCAAATCTGCGTGTGAAAAGGAGAATTTATCAAGCTCCCAGGTGTCTCACGGGGAACAGCTTCACATAGGAGAGAGGAGTTTCCTCCTCTTCTGAAGTTGACAGAGGATCGGGTGCCTGCCAACAGGACTCCCAAGCAGGTCTCTCCTTGCTCCAGAGTAACCTGCAGTGACTTGCACCCCCCGAGGCACAGCTTTCAGTGCTACTGCCACCACCTACTTAGCAAAATTGGCGAGATTCTGAATGACTTTAGCAATGAGCGTGAGTGTGCGAGAGGTCCGGTCGTCAGGATACTCCTGCATGAGGCTGAAGAGGCTGGGGGACATGATGGCGGGGCAGAGGAAGCGGAGGAAGAGGGAGGCACTGATCAGGCGTTCGCTGATGTCCTGCTTGCCCCTGCTCAGGCACTGCTGCTTCCAAGATGCAAATACCTCCTTCAGCTCACGAGGGAATACGCTGGAAAACAATAAGCCGGGACATAAAAATCACAGGGGCGATGAGATGCCTCGAGTTCAAACTCAGAATCCCCTGAAAAGATGATCTGTGAGAAAACACCATCATCCCTTTGTTCCCCTCCTCCCCCCGCCCCCTCTTCTCTCTCGAGGCCAGGGAATGTCATTAGGCATCTATTCTTAGATCCCCACTTAATCTGGTGGTACTTAAGTAGCCTGTAAAGCGTCCCTTGGTCGCGTATGTTAAGTGAAGCCATTCTCAGACACGCTGATAGACAAGCTGAGAGCTGCTTATCCATCGCCACCCCAGAGCAAACAGGGTGTTGGAGTACTGAACCAAACCGAGCTCCTCTCCGTATCTGAAACTCTTTGCTTGTTATGCTCGCTCGGTATTTCTCCTGTGCTCCAAAGGCCCTTCTCCCACCACTGCTCAGAAGGAGAGATGAACAGAGATCTCCCTGCCCGCGTTTCCTCCCTGCGGTTTCGGCTCGGTTCTACAGATCTGAAGCTCTGCAGGTTTTCTATAGACATCAAAACGTTCAGGTTTTCATTCCAAGTCCAAGCTAAGCTGTTCTCTTCTCACTTTACTCAGCCACAGCTCAGCATGTGTTCCCTTGGCAAAGCATTTCAGCAGAAGCTCCTGTCAGGTATGGCGTGTGGGACTGGAATGCTGCAGTTTGGGCACAAGTTCCCTCAGCAATACGGGAAGTGGTGAGGAAAGGAAAGGAAACGAAGGCAGTGCCAGAACACACGTGGCTCTGAGCCATTTCCCTGTACGGCTGCTGCCTTCTGACCTTCAGAGGAGGAACGGGCACCCTGTAAGCAAATCCCTGCTGGGGGAGACAGGGAGGGGAGATGCCTCACCAGTAGGAATTGATAATCTTGCAGAAGGCCAGCTCACAGCACATTTTCAGGTTGCTCTGATGATCTGTCAATTCACTGGATGAACATTTGCTGGGATCTACTTCACAGTTTTCATCTGACTCGTACAAAGCCTTGATAAACTCGCCTGGAAAAAGGGAAGAGGATGCTCAAAACCAGGGTAGTCACATGAAAAGCCTCCTTGACACACCTTTCAATCCTGCTTATGCCTTTCCTTGGCAACTGCCTCTCCTGCTCCCGGCGTATGCAACATGGCCTCCAGACACCAGATGTTGGGGACACGACTCCTCCCAGCTCTTTGGCAACAGAGCACTTCTCGGAGGGGATCAGACAGCTGGTGCTCAGCTGCTTCAGCTTCCCGTGCCCCCGCTGCCCCCAAGGAGAGGTGCAGACAGGATGGCTGCGCTTGCAACCCCTGCACACACTTCACTTCCAGCCTGAAGAACAGGATTTGGCTTTGTATTCAAACTGTGGGATCAACGATAACATTATCCACAGCCTTAACAATGAAGCTGTGCCATTTGTCTTCATAATTTTCCCAGGAAATACATTTGGCAATGTTACTGATTTTTATTAGTTCTAGATTTAACGTTGGTTTGTTTGTTTGTTTTAATTTTAAGAAGTGCCACCTTGCTTTTGAGTAAGAGGAATACCCGAGTGCTAGCTAGACACTGATTTTCCCAACACCTTACACCACCTTCATAGCCTGCATCTTTGAACACCCTCCGTATTTCCGTCATCCTTCTCTTACGGCATCACAACCCAAACTGGGCACTTGCAAAACCCGATGAAGTTCCCTTGGGGATATCAGAGCCAACGACTCACTAGCCTTCCTCCTGCAAATGCTAGCACACGGGGTGGTTTTTAATCTGCTGTTGTGCACTAGGAAAAACTCTTTATTCCTTCATGTAATGATTCAATGCCTTTTAAGTTCATCTCCTCAGATGATTTCGCTGGCTCCGAGCTAATGCCACAAGGCTTGTTTGTGCAGAAGGGGGGTTGGTTTTTTGTCTTTGTTTTCATAAAAACCTTTAAACACCTCCCAACCCTCCTCCTCCCACCGAATCTCAAGCCCAAAATATTCTTGCAACCAAAGCAGGAAGCACAGTTTCTTCAAGTGCGGGGTTTTTTCTGCAGGGGTCCAAAAAATTTCTGCTGAGGGCGTCTAGATCACGTATTTGCAAAACTCTCGGCATCACTTCTGTTGAGCCAGTTCTGGTTTAACTGTTGCTTACTGGGTAATTTGGGGTTTTTTCCTTTAACACATTTGAAACTTTGTGGTCCACAAGACCCTGCCTTGACCATACGTGAAGACGCTCTTACAGATGCATTAAATGGCTAACGCCAAGCGTAACGCTGTTAGTCCTGCCAAAGGACACGGCACCTGAGCAAAGTGACATTTAAAGCCTGACAGAGAATCAGATGGGCACGCTGTCACGAGCAGTCCTGCCCTGAGCTACAGACAAGCTGGATGACCTTAGGGGGATTTTCCATCTCTCATGGCTGTGATTTACAACTTTATCACTCAGCACCAACGCTCTGAATGATGTATTGGAAGTGATTAATTTTACAATATTTTTATGTAATTACTGCACATTAAGGAGCTTGCAATCAAATGTAACGTACTGGTCCCACAGCTGACGGCTCTGGCTCCTGAAAAACACAGTAGAGAGTGGCATGCTGCTCCTTCCTCCGCACGATCAAGAGCCTAGGACTGCGACTGGTGCGTGGCAGTTCCATCCGTGAGAATAAGACTACCTGAACGGGCTCGTTACGCTTCAGAACTGGCCAACACACATATAATCAGAATGACTACACTGACCCTTGGAGCACTAATTTAGCCAACTCTGCCCTTGATGGCTTGCCAGCATCTGGGATTGCTGAGGACAAGCGAGACTGCTGGGAAAGCAAGCTCCTGCTTTTTTTTGGTGAAAGGATGTGGTGTGGGACTGGGCTTTGGCCTGATCTTGTTTCTCTTACATCGATTTCCAAAGCTTCCTTCAGCCAAAAACTAAGAGGGGGCTGGGTAGCTCATTGTGCAATTGTGGGTAACAAAGATTGTGTGGAGTTGGTAGAAGCTGGCTGTAGGAGGCTGGGAGTTTCTTCGGAAGAACATGCACATTTTTGGTCCTCTTTATTGCCATATTAGTTGCAGGGACAGTCATTCCCAAAGCAGCGGCTTACGGCTACAGCAGAACCTTTTTGGGTGGATAGGGGACAATAATACAGTCAACAGAATCCACCCTGGCACAAAACTGTGGACATGAGGACCCCATGGGGGAAATGGAGTAGGACATCACGGGGTGGCCATGCAGGTTTAGTGAGAGTCCTTTGGATAAACACAGGCAGGAGGCTCCCTAGGCAGCCTGCACCTCCCTCTCCTGCTCGGTAGCCCTGCAGCCTCACTCCCTCCGGCCATGTGTGTCTAGGGATTCTTGTCAGGGCAAGGCACCCGTCTCAAAGGTTAACCCAACTGCTTATGAATTAATTGCTCGTGGCAAAGGTAAGGGCTGAGGAAGTCGCCCTGGAGCATGCCAGCACTACAAATAGCTGCAGCTGAAGCACCTGGAAATGAATTTTCTAGTGCTACCTGCATTCAACCCAAGGTATAGCCTGGACATCTCAGGCTTACCACTTGGTACTTGACTGGAGATGCCCCAGCAACACGCACTCATGGATGAGAACTCTGGTCGTCAACCAGATACCCCCCGTGTATATCTAACCCCCGCGATGGTGGCACTTCAGCCACCAAGTGCAGGAGCTTCTTTAGCATAAAAGGAGATGAAGTGAAATACATGCTTCACCATTTCTAACCCCTTCTGCAATCTCCACCTAACTGCACTGCACATGATACCAGTTTCATTCCCGGCACCACAACACAAGGTATCGGGCTCAACTTCCGCTGTTATGCTGTGTCAAAACCCCTTTTCTAAGCCTGTTGATCCGTCAGACGGAACAACCACCGTTGCCCACAGATCGACTGCACTACTACAGCTCTTCACCACAATCAGAGACCACGAGACGGTTACCCAGAACAACATACTCTGGCGATACCAACTTCAGGAGGGACTCAGCTGTATCAAAGCAAATTTGCCTTCCCTTGGGTGGTACTCCTGTGGGCACCAACGAGCATCTTCCTCTGTGTGGAGGAAGGGCATCAAGATAAGACAACAGATATTTTGCTATCTGGATACTAGACACCTGGGCTGAGCACTGAGGCCGTTCCCATCCCGCGTTCCTAGATGCGCAGGGCTCCGGTTACACTGCAGACAGGTCAGGGTTAGCCCTTGCAATGCCAACAGGCGACAGACAGGCACGTTCTTACCTAGTGCGTCGTGGAGATACTTCTGCCCCACCAACTTCAGGTATTCCTCAATAGCTTTGGTAGCAAGCGTGTTCTCCCTGAAGATCAAGACGTCATGCTCCCCACAGCGATCGACCTCGGACATCACTAAATCTGTCAAGAAGTCCTGAAGAAAAAGGGCCAGAGGTTATTTTAACCGGACTCAGCCATGCCAGGCTGACTGCAGCTCCACGAAGGAAGGATAAACAGAGGAGCCAGAGGGTTACGGGAATAAGTCCTCAGCTTGGGACAAGGGGTGCAGATGCTACATGGAGTATGGGCCAAGGAAACAGCTAGGGCTCCTCTTGGGTTGATTATACAGGTCACAAATTATACAGGGAGAAGCGAAAGTCTCCAAAGGAAAACCTCAACAGCCAAGCTTGTGTTTCAGTTCAGATCCTGAACAGAGAAACCCTCCCCAGCCTGTTTATCAGCAGCCTCGTCTGCTGAAAGGAAATGTGATGTGATGTGTACCTTTTAATACAGAATACTGCATACAAACTTGGATTTAGAAACCCAAAATGGAAGTCAGGCACAAGTTCTCACAGCTTGGTGAAATTTAAACAAGAAGAATGTCTTATATAAATTAAACTCACAAACCACAACTGGTGCAGGGTGAAGGAAGTTAATTTGCAGTGGATCTACATGGCTTAACTTGAACTGTATTCCAAGGCCCAGGCAGGAACTATCAGGAAGTCTTGATACAGTGAATAACCTCTTGATATAGGGCCTAATTCTACAGTAATGCTTATTTCCTGAAGCCATAATTTCATGTGAGTCAAGGAGGACACTCAGCATTTCACATGAGATACTCGATATTTTACAAGCTCTTATTCCAGCCATCACAAAGTTCTCCAGGAAAGGAAGCACAGTGAAGCTTATTTCTCCCCCCGTCTTTTTTAACTGTTCAAAAAAAAAAACCAAAACACAAACCCCAACCCCAGAAATGCCCTGGATTAGGGCTGAACTGTGACTTGCTGGTTGTGCTGCAAACACCGGTTCAGAGCGCTGTAGCAAGGTTGTGTAATCCCATTAACGACAGAAGCCGCAACGCGCTGCCACTGTGAGCGCAAAATAGACAGCAAATTATGGAACATAAATATAGATCAAAATTAAATTGGGTACTCCTGCTTTCCCATCTATGACTGCTGTTTCTTTCCAGCAAAATTGGAGAGAAGCATTTTCACCTGGCACAAAGTGGGACCATCCAGTTGCATCACCAGCACCCACAGTGCGACCTGGAAGTGTACCCTCTTGCAGTGTGGGTTATGGCAGCCCCAGCTGCTCGCTGCTTCCAGTAAGCAAAGGTTCAAACCTTCAGGCACTGGGAAGGCAAAGCCATAACAATACTTTATCTACCTGGGGCAACGAGCACTGCAGGAATCCGGAGCCTGCTTTCCAGGAGGATTTCCACACAGCCCTACAGGAGCCATCCCACCTACCAGCTTTGCTTGATGAGACAAACAGCTCGGTAAGGAAAGAGTTCCTACCACACACAGTCACACAGCACCGGCCTTTCAGAGGTTTGGGTCAAGGGAACGGCAGAGAGTGGCACACGGTTATGTAAACATAAAAGGACCTTCCCGGAGCCGTTTAATTAGGCTGTCCCTTGGATGTTGCTTACAGCCATCCTTCCGCGTCTCCAGCCCTCTAACTTGTGTTCGGACGTGCTTAACTTGCTCTAGGTGGCATTACTGGAAGAAGCCGGTTACAGCTTGGTACTACTCACACACCCACTTGGCAGGCAGCATCCCGATAAATCAATGCTTGCTAATGCTTCTCAGAATTTCCCAGGACCTACAGGATATTCTCCTGCAATCTATTCAAAGAAACAGAGGCTCACTCCAACTGCTGCCTCACAGAGAACCATCAGTGTGCACCCAGAAGTCCTAACAACATCCTTGGGGCAGGTGGGATCACCATTAACCGAGTATGGATTCTCCAAATGGCTGTTCAAACGCTGACCAAATCAATGTAAGCATTGATTAGCTGACTTAGCACTGAATCTACAGCGGCACCCTGCCGCTCACCGTATCAGAGATTTATTTATGGGAGTAACTCTCTGCTTTACTAACCTCCGTACCGTGATTTTGGAAATAGAGGAAAGGTCCTGAATGCTCCAGTGCAGGCCCTAGCTTCCCAGAATAACCCGAAGTTATGCACTCCTCATGCTTATACTTTCTACACAGCGTCTTCCGCCTCTGTATCAACTCAACCCCGGTCGGCGTCGCGCCTACCTCCATGCCTCCCTGGTAGGTGCACTTGTCCAAGCCTTTCCAAGTACTTTTGAGCCCCTTTTCTCAGCTTTACCCCATCAAGCCCCTCCTGCTGCTGCTAATGGCCATGCCAGCCCAGGCTTCCCACTTCCCAAAGATCGCCTCAGAGCAGCGTGAGGGAGCCGCTGGAACAGGAGCCGCCTGCTCTTACCTTGGCTCTGCCAGTGCTCTGAAGAATGTGCACCAACGCACAAGCCATCTCCTCCTTATTCCTCACGCTGATGACGGGTTCCAGCACAGAGCACAGCATCGTGTAGTTGCTCGTCACAAACTCTGCAAATTCTTTGTATTGCTCCATGGGCAAGATGGTGATGGTCTGATAACGGGACTTGATCCGAATGGAAGGGCCCCCCGATTTCCCTTTGTTGGGTGTAGGGGTGCTGACGGGGTACCATTTTTCCACAAACTGGCGACCAGTCACGCTGGCCGTGGGAATGTTGACCAGGCCTACGTAATTGTTCTTGTCCTTCTTCTTCTTCTTCTCCACATCCTTGTAGATGTGCACCGTGATGCTGTGAAGAGGTGGGAGGCTGTAGAACTCAAAGTGCTCTCCCCAGAAGATGTTATCCGCTTTCGTTTTGCTGGTGGTGCGGGCAAAGAGAGTGTCATCAAGGCACAGCTCGCAGAAGTATTTCTTCTTGGGGGCCAGGTCCTTTGCCTCAATGATCCAGAGACGGAGCACATTTTCAGCTCGACGGCAGTTGTCCTGTGCAGAAGAAAGAGCTCAGCTTTGATTCACAATCCTTAAAAACGGACTATTCTGTCTTCTACAGCAGCAGCAAAGGGCTGCCTTTTGTGTCCAAGGTAGGGACGGAGTCAGCATTCAGAATCGGATTCTCTGATCTTCAGAGAACCAGAACCTCTGGAAAATCAGACATTTTCTACAACAGAGGCAAAGGGCTGTCTCTAGTACGTCAAAGGTGGGGGCTGGAAGCTTTTTCTTCTCAAGAAGCTGTATTTGAAATGCTTTAGAAATCAAACATTCTGCACAGGAGCCCCTCCAAAGCTGCTAGACTGGTGTGGCAGGCTGTAGTCTTTCCTCTCCTGAACCACCCCCAGAGCCCTGTTAGCCTGCCCCTCGGAGGCGGTAATGCCAGCTACGGAGGTGACTTACCAGACGTCTCCAGCTGGATCAATCACTTGATGCCCCTTCTCGCCCCGTCTCAAATTCCTTCCCCCCAGAAAAACATGAACCCTAGGAAGCCACATCCCATCCTCCTGAGGTGCACGGTGTCGGAAATCCAGCCTGACACATCAGAAGGGGGCACGGGGGCCGGGATCGGGAAGCAGTGTATTTATTCATTACAGCCTTGACCTGCTGCACTCACTGGAACAGTCCCCAGCACTGACGAGCGGCCGTCTCCCCAGACTAAATTAACTGAGGATGTATCTGTGGGAAGCCCTGGTACACTGAACTAAAATCCAATCACCCCACCTCCATTCCCCCAGTAATCTTATTTGCGCGGCTTTGATTACCTTATTCGGCTGCACTGTTCGGCGTAGGTTTTCCATCCACTTGTCCCTCTCTGCTGCAGAGGAACAACTGAAGCATTTACTGCCACTGGAGTAGGTTACCTGGAACAGAGAAGTGACAGGCTGAGTGCAGGCAAGCCTAGGAGACATGGAAGAGGCTGCAAAAAGCAAGGAAGAAGAGAAGCAGTGAAGGAAATAGGAAAAAGGCAGGAAAACAACATGGGACCCTAGAAGGCAGAGAGGCTAAAAGACACACAAAACAGAGAGAGGAAAAAATCAGTTCAAATTAATGTAAAACTAAATGAATGCATGAGGAGAACCAGAAGCTCCTCTTACAGGCTTTTAAACAAGGCTTTAATCAACCAGTTCACTTTTTTTTTAAACACTTGTTAATCGATCCATAGCTATTAAATATTTGCAGCTTTCCTCGTTAAGTCCCAGAGGCAGATGATTTGGTTACTAACACTGTAAAGACAGACAGAACTAACAGTGTATTAACACAAAGGCCAAACACACTGGAAGCGGCGTCTTCCATAACTACACAATATTTCCGAAGGTCCATATATACAGCAACATCCTGAAACAAGCCGAAGGAGTCGTGCGCTGATCCCGCCCGGACACCCAGCGCCACACACGGCTCTGCTCTCGCGCAGGAGGGAACCACCTCGGTTTGTTACGTGGCCCGACACGCTTCGTTTACTCCTTCCACTCGTCTGTGCACACAATTAAAGAGCACTTTGAGGCAGCAGCTCAAAGTGCTAAGTCGCTGCCAGGTTTTTCACTCGACTCCCCAAACCTCAGCAGGCTGGGGAATGCTTCCGACCAGAAGAACGAGACCAAAGCGAGCAGGAACAGTTCCTGGATACATCCCGAGGGAGAAGGGCCTGATATGCTGGTTTTGTGCCAGAGCAGTTTTCCAGGCTGTAAACAGATCTTTGTTCTAGAAGTGCAGATGCATCTGACTAATTCTGCTGAAGAGAGTGTCACCCGGCCCTGCCCCGGCAGATGACGCCAGCCTCGACATCCCAACAGCGCGCACGGCTACGCTGCTCGTCCTGCCAGGCAGGGACTGTGCTCGCACCAACAGCCCGGTTCCGAGGGAAAGCTGGGAGCCCCGCAGTGCTGCACGGAAACAGCAAGAGGATCCTCAGCATCCTGCTCCTTGGTGCAACAGGGCGTCTGCAGTTATGGAAGGTTCCCCTTTAGCACGTGGAGAACGGGCTGAGGTAACGCAAGGGGGCTCTGGCTGGAAATCACATCCCTCTGTTACGGTATATTTTGTAAATTTAAGTGTAGGTGAATTTGGAGAGGATGAACACACAGCTTATCAACAATAGTATGTTTAACCCTACGTTTGCATGCTACAAATGCTTAGATATGCATCAAATTAAAGAGATTTTTCAATTAGAAGACATGGTAATTGAAAAAGATTTCTCTCCTCTGTGCGACTGATGCCATTAGCCTCAAGGGCTTCAGAATTGCGTGCTGGTTTGACAGCCCCCACCCAAACCTCAGGAGAGCAGCGGCTGCTCCGTTCTCCAATTACAAAGTCTCCCAACAGCCTGCTCCAAGGGTTCACCCCACTGTCAGGATACAACCGGCTGCGTGTTTGGAAAGCGTTCCTTACCTCAAAGCAGTAGTCTTGTCCGAGGATACTGCTGTGCAGTGGCTTGACAAAGACTTTTTCTTCTGACCCAAGATCCAGGGCCTCCACGGCACTGCCTGGGCTCAGTAGGGACTCATGGGAACGCGACTCTTTCAGCTTTGGCAACCCACATGGCCTGGAGGAGAATGACGGGGAAAGGAAACATCGTTTTTTCTCACAATTCCGGAAAGAGTTGGCAAGATCCCAGGGAAAGCTGTGACTCGGTTGTTTATTCAGAACAGCTTCTACAATTAGTCTGTAAACCTTATGAAAATAACATTAGGCCAGCAATCCCAGACTCCGAAGGAAATATACACCAACACAAGCCCAGGAAGTCCATTCCCACTGACCTAGAAACTGTACATGCTGATCCATCAGGGAAAGAAGAGCAAACCAAAAATTCCAGAACCACTGAAATGTCAAGAAACCCCACAGATGGGTTCGGATGTATTACTGGAAATATTTACTACTGCCGAGATCACCAGGTAAACGTGTCCTCACAGCAGGATGCAGACCGATCTCTACACCCGTGCAGAATGGTAGCTACTCTCAGGAGAGCAGGCGATCCCCCGACAATACACTTGATTTTTCTTAACACCCTTTACACTGAAGTCAAACATGCAAGTGATTTCCCATTTCACACTGCTCCAGTCCATTACCTACATTTAAATTTTACATTTTCTTCTGCTGCTTCTTCCACTTTTAACAGTTGCCAATTTTTTTTCATACCTCCATTCTCCTCACCAACCCCCACCGCTGCTCTTTTTCAGTGGACTGCCCTGAGCTCTACCAGAGCTGGCATCTCCCAGATCCCCAGTGCCTTCCTATCAAGGCAGTCTTGTCTCTGTCCCCACCACAGACGAAGTGTCTCGAACACTTCCCAAAGACGTATCTCTCCCTGTGCTACGCCGTAGCTTCTTGCAGCCAACAGCAACACTATAAAATGCAGTCTGACACTTCCTTTCTTCTCCCGATTGGATTTAATGGGACATTTGTGCCTAGTAGGGAGTTGTGCCATCAAACAGCACTGGAAAACAGGCTCAATTTATAGGTTACAGTGGTTTCAAGTTTGCTCCTTCTAACTCTGAGCCAACACTATGAGTTTCTGCGATAAAGTCATACAATGCTTCAAGCACGACGAGTACGTCTCCTTCAGAGGACAAACGATGTGCACACATTCCCTCTAGCCGGAACTCGAAGCCTTCACAGATGTCCAACAAGGAGGAAGAGCACCGAGGAACAGGAGGAAAAGAGAAATAATTAGCAAGTAAAGGAGGAAGAAGAAGAGATTCTACGAGTCGCAGGTAAGCGGAGGCTGCACGTGGGGTAAGACAAATCAAGCACACCTACATGAAACAACTGCACAGCCACTTGGTGCCACAAATCACGGCCCTTCCTTCCCAGCTTCCTTCTCTGGGCTACATCTCAGCAGCAAATCCTGCCGGCAGAGGAAGAAAGGCACAAAAATCCCGGAGTTCTTCCTCCAGCCTTAGGTTACAAATTCCACACGAGCATCATGCACGGCAGATACACCAGGGCAAGGAGGAAAGTCACAGCCGATCCCTCTCACTGGCTGTGCTCCCACCCGGCCCCAAGGGTGGCACAAAGAGGTTGCGGGGTGCGCGTTGCCATGGCGCAGCCTCCCATAAGGGGATTGGGAGGGGCAGCTGGGCGAGGCAGCAGGCATGGGGAGGGTGACCTTTCCAGAAAGAAGTCCCTCCTCTTCCCTTCCTGTGATGAGTTTAACGAGACCGGGCCAGTTAAACAGGGGGGAGAGAGCGGGGCGTCTTCCCAGAACAGCCCTTGGGGACAGGGTGAAGGCAGGTACACACAGCAACCGTACGCCGTGTCTCCACGTCCCCCCTTGGAAGTTACATCCTGTAGTAGCATCTATCCTGCTCCATCGCTCTGACCACGTGGGTTTGCTGACCAGCTGGAGCACGGTTCGTTTCGTTGGCCCAGGCTCCTGGGGCAGCAGAATGTCTCTCTGAGCAATCCCTCGAAGTTAGCGTTATTTAAAACAGCTCAATAAACTCATTAAGTGGCTCAGAAGTGGCACGTTATCTTCCATAAACACCACGGCAACGTCACCAAGGCGCTGGTTAGATGCAACCGCACGCGTTTACCAACACACGTATCTGTAAGCACCGCGGTATATAATTCATCTATGGACAGATCTACAGAGCAGATCAGTGACTTGTGCCTCAATCAGCAGCGTGCCAATCAATACAGGCAATAACGATACAGAAATAACAGTTCTCTGCTGCTTTAAAGCCTCATCTGATATTCTGAAGCTGTTCGTAATGATGAAAGCAAATTGCTTGCTGGCTTTCCTTCGCATAGCTGCCGCTAACTTACTTCCCCATGCCCAGCACAGGGCTGGATTAACGGGGTCTCTCCTGTATTAGGTAGGAAGCTACTGGCAAAAGGAGTATTGCTTGGAGTGTCTGTTGAGAGAGGGGTAATCCCAGCCAAGCAGATTACTGTAAACAGGAAGATCACACATGCAAAAGGTGGGGGAAGGGTTGTTTGTACAAATCTGTTTCTGTTAAACAGCTCCATTAACAACACAAATCTTGTTTTAAATTACAATTAACCTCAGATGATCAAATGCTGTTTTAAATTACCATTAACCTCCACGATCAACTGATTTTTCCTGTTGCTTTTTCTCCCTGCCCCTGCACACAACAATAAGATGGCCAAGAATCAGAGCAAATAGTTACCAACAGCACCAGATAATTCCCCATAATTTTTTTCCACTAGGAAAAGCAGGTGGAGGAGGAACATGTCAGGGATTGTTTTAAGCTTCTCCCCTCTTTTCACATGCATTGGCGTACCACTCTCCAGAGCTGCATGATTTCCTGCCAAACCAGAGCCCAGCCAGTGCCCCAAACCACTGAGCTGGCAGCAGCAGGAGGCTGCTACCAAAAAAAGGTCTCTTGACCACCCCCATCCCCCTGACGCAGCCCCAGGCTGATCCTCTCTCCTTCCACACCATAATGCAGGAGTTTCCCGCTACGGGAAATCTCGGCTGTAAGCCGGGAACTGGAAACCTCTGCCTTTCAGTGGCCGCTCGCGGCACACTGCAGCCCATGAGCTGACTTTGGTTATATTCTACTGCCTGTAAGGCCTGTGGGATAAAGGGTTAAAATCCTAATTGCTCTGGGTATGAAGATCTCCTGCTGATTTTGACCTATTTGAACACCAACCTACAAAACACAAAAGACTTTCCATTACCGAGCTTCCCAGGGAGAGCACTATATTGCTTGGAAAACAAGCCTGTGGACGTCAATAATCCAAAAGATAAAAAAAAAACGTACTTCCAAGGAGCAGAATCCCATAATCTGTTTCCTTTACCAGACTGGTGTGAAGGCAAAGAACTCCAAAACGAGGTTTTTGTTCAGCCCAAGCAGGTGGCTAAAGCCATGTCTCCACCGGTGTGATGCGGAACTGTACATCTGCACGCTTCAGGTAATTCCAGCACAACACCCGGGTGTTTAGAGACACTCCCCAAGACCAGAAAGTTCAATCCAATACTTAGCCGCTGGCAAAGTCACAGGAGAGAGCTCGGGCAGCAACCTTTGTGCTCAGCGCTGCCGTCCGCATTCCCAGCCCCGAAGGCCGCCAGCATCCCCCGCGATACGGGAGCGCTCGACCAGCGCCGCAGCATCAGGTTTCCCTGGGCAAGGGTTCATTGGGTAGGCACCACACCCCCGCTTCGTTTTCCAACTGCCAATTAGCACAACATCCTATTACTCGGTCAACAATTCTACAAGTCTAACCAGTTTCGTTATTAATATTTTTTTAAATCAGAAACTTAGGGTAACTTACTCAGATGCAAGTTCTGCTCGGCTGCAATTAAGCACTGGCTTTAGCCTTGCACTAAGGTTCTGGTCTTTCCATGCAAGGCCCTACCCAAAGCCTCACCGTCTGAATCCGGGATTTGCAAAGCCCTTCCCCGCCTGCCTGCTCTCCCTACGGATCGCAGCTTGTCTGCCAGACAGCTCCCAGGGTACAGCCCAACAGGCTGCTCAGGTTCACGGTGGCAGTTCTCCTCACTCTGCTATTCACCTTCCAAATTCTTCCGGTGCGCTGGACCAGAGATGCTTAACCGATCCGGTTTCATCTCGCTGCCACGCAATTTATAGGCGAATTAATTGCGGAGGAGCATGGGATTTGTGTAAAAGCCAATTACGTTTTTACAAAGTGAGCGTGCAGAGGGACAGAGCAGCCGCTCACCAAGGTGAAGGCTTAACGCTGAGAAGGGGTTCGGTTTTCACTGCGAAGCTGACGACTGCGTGAGGAATGAAAAAACTGGCTGAAAGAACTATGTTCACCACAACAGGGGCGAGACGTCGCTCCGGAAACAAAGCACTCCTCCCCTTTCCCCATACTCCAGCACGCAGATCGCAGGAGATACGCCGAGCCCAAGCTCCCAGTGAGTCAAGCCTTAATAACGCATTGTGTAACACAGAATTTGATCCTTACGTCTAAATCGGGATAAAAAAAATCAGGATAAAAAATCACCCAGCTTTCCCCTACCCCCCCAACCTGGCATTAAATTAGAACGAACACGAAAAACACAGCCAGAAACCGGGAGGGAGGAGCGAGAACTCACCGAAAGTAGAAAAAGCCGTCGTTGGAGCAGCGGTAGCGTTTCACCATGAAGCCCAGAGCCATGGCTACCCCCTTCCCCGCACCCTGCCGGAGCCCATCCCGAGCAAGCACACCGCGGATCGCGCGCCCGGCTACGACGATCTGATAATGCCATAAAACGACTTTTAGTAAAGCAGGAGGATTCCCACGTGGCAGTAAATCCCAACAGGGCAAAACCCTCCCAGCTGTCCGCGGAGCTTTACTGCAGTCGCTCAGACCACATACAGCCAGCCTCAACCATCTCCGCTCCCTCGCCATAAACAGAACGGGGCCGAGGGCTGTCGGTCCACTCTCAAATTCCTGGCCGCACACTCAAAACGTTAATTTGGTCACCCCTTTCGAACGCAATTTTCCTTCAGTCTTTTCTCATGCTTTTTTACATCTTTTATATATTACTGACACTGAGAAAAATATTAGAGACGAATGTGTGGGTTGCAGAGCTCAGAGAACGCAGTGGGAACAGGCTAGCAAAGCTGTGAAAGATGAGAGGGTAACACGGTGCCAGACAGGCTCACGGCGAGAGCTGTCGATAACCCAGCGAGATGCCGCACGTCTCAAGAGCGTCTCTCACATCTGGCGTGGGTTACAGGCGAGCGGAGTCCAAGTCTTCTCACGTCAGTGCCTTGTAAAGACAGAACACCAGTTTTCAACTCAACAGACCACCCAGCAAACAACCTGAGCCTGAGGTAATACAAGTGATGCCAACTACAGGCTGAACGATTGGGGTTTTCTACAGGGCATCTGGATGCTGACCCACGGCAGGCTTGTTACTGGAGGGGCACCACAGGTCTCCCCTCTCCTCACCCGCTAACCCAGTCACGCTGAGGCCAAGTTAAAAGCCAGGTTGGCCGATTGCTTTCCACTGAAACAGAGAAATCTGGTCACGAAAAAGTATCTGCAGCTGACCACCATCACTCCGTCCTACGGCATTCCCGAATCCGTCCTGTTTTCAATGGACTCCGAACAGGCAGCATCCATCCTCTGTCACCAGCCGGCACAGCGTGCAGTGTCACAGCATCCCCAATCTCCATGTGCACCAGGATAACGGATCTTCCTTACTCCAGAATCTTACAGATGATTGTTGATAAACATCTGTTTCTTAACAGGACCCCAACGCCTCAAAAGGACGTGAGAGCACCATGACAGCAGCCCCTGTTTCCTTCTAATCCTTGCAGGCTTTCAATTTATAAAGCCATATGAAGCTTTCTTTGAAGGCAGGGCTCTTGTGTTTGTCAAGAGCAAGAAAAGGTAGATGCTATCAGTCTCCCTGGCCCGGAAAACCTGTGAACACCATGACATCACCTCTGCTTCAAACGGGAAAGGGCTGACTCACCCGCGTAGGACAGGAAAGTTTGTGCTGCAAGAGAGACTCACGCAGAAAGCAGGGAGAGCAGAAGGTGAGAGAACGGCAGTTGCCTCGCATGAATTTGGAGTCAGCTGCTCTGTTATCTTCTTTCAGGCAGAAACAGTTGTCGCTGATTTGTCCCATTGGAAAAAATGCCAAATAACAGCATAATTCTAAACACAAACCAATCTTTTCAGCCTCCTCTTTCCTCCAGCCCAACTCCTCCCAGTATACTAATCTGTTCCTCATCTCCAGTGCTTCATTCCCACATGGTTTCCGAGTTGTTTTTCCTGCTGCTCTACCCATCAATTGCGTTTTTCAGGCACCCTTAGATACAGTGAAACATATGGGAGGGAAGGGAGAAATTCTTGGCAAGTTTCACTTTGCAGTGGAACTGAATTTCTTTTATGGTTTTATTTATAAAATACCATTAGAAAAGTAATAACTCTCACCAGAATCTTTCTAAGTTGGTACATTCAACTGGAGCACTGCCCGATGAGACCACAAACGCAGAGGGAACTCCACCGAACCCGCAATTCTTCCAACAAAAGGTAACTACAAGGTTGAGTAGCGCCCTTACGCTTTCTTTCCGAAAAGAACTTGGCAGCGCTGTGTGACGCTCACCTGCAGCCCGAGGCTTCCAGCCGAGCCGCAGGCTCATGCTTTTCACCAGCAATACTCATTTGGGCAAAGATTTATCTCCAAAGAAACTTCATCTCAAGTTGCTTTCCACACAGCCTGGCCACTCCCAAACCATCTCCCGTGCTTCCAAACTGTGCCCTCTGTTCACTCCAGCACACGTACCTCTGAAAGGAGGAAGACCACACGGGCTGGTATGGAAATGCTTTGTTCCGTTAATAGCAAGCGACCACACCAAATGACAACAGGCCCAGAACACTGTCCCATCTCCTGCCCTACCGATGCGAGACGCACGGCTGTACGACCAGTGCAGAAGGCCAGAGGAGGAGGGTGACCACATGGAAAGCGAAGAGCAACCACCGGCTTGTCCCCGTCTGATGTCCTGCGCATCACCGGCTTTCCAGGGCTCCGTCCCCAAATCTCGGCGTGCACGCTGTCACTGGAACCTCTCACTTCATTCCCGCATGGATCCTCCTTTTTACATCTCCTGGATCCTTTTTAAATCTGTGCCAAGGAGACTTAGAGGGACTGACAGAACAAGACCAGCTATGCTTAACACCGTCACCGCATGCCATGGATTTTATGCTTTGCGAGAGACAACCCACGTTTCCTTCCAGCCTAGCTGGCAATTTATGCCCACACTGACAGGGAGCGCAGGGGGATCCGGTTTTAAAGCAAAAGCGCCTTTGCCGTGTATAATATCATGTCTTAAGCCAAAGTTGTAGGGATTAATTATAGCTAAATTTATTGGCTTTGCCAGATTGACAGCATTTCCCTTATGCCACAAAAGGAAGTATCATCAGTCCACATCCAGCTGGAGTACCGCGTCAGGGAGAGACAAATACATTATTTACAGAAAAAAAAGGCTTTTGCATCACAAAAGTAGCAGGTTACAAACAATGATAAAAATCACAGGTACTTTATCACTTGGTGGCATTACTGAACAGGCTTGTGCTCAGCGAGTTGCTTTCTGTAGGCATCCTGCAACTCCCTGAAAACAGGGATTTGTAACAAAGCTTTACTCCAAACCGGGTGGACGTTACTATTACGACAGGAGCAACATCATCCCCGTCATCAGTCACATTTGGTAAGCAGGAGCCTCTTCTGTAACTCGTGAAGTTAACCAGATCTCTAAGATCCCAAGCCTTGCTATCTCCGTGATTTTCTGGTGCTTCCTTTCAGATGGAGAAGACAGCCCCATGGATGGAAGCAGCACAGCGTGACAGATACAACTAATGAATTCAGCTCAGCTGAAGGGGAAGGGAAAAGGCACTAAACCATGTAAAATCACAGAAGCCTGCCGTGGCCTTAAGTACAGGGCAACCTATTTTTCACTCAGTCTCTTTCTCCTGCTGGTCTATGGCGGAATGCAACACGAAGTAATGTGTAATAAAAACCATCAAGGGACTATACAAACAGGCAAACCTGCGTGTGAGAGCTTTTGCTTGCCTCATACACCATCCCTTCCCAGCCTGAAGTGCCAGCCAAAAACCAACCAAGCAAGAACACACCACACGGAGCACTAGCATGGCCAGAAGTTACTGAGCTTCCTGAAAACCGGACTAATACTCCATCGACTGCCGTTCCCAAGGATTGCTAACGCACTTGAACTGCACCACACGTCGCTGGGCTGTGCCGGGGTGAGCCGAGCTGATCTGCTCACACCAACCCGACCGGCCGCACCGCACCGATCCGCGGGCAGGCATCGGGGTGAGCTTCTCTAAAGCCAATCGATCAATCCCACGGGCTTGGATCATGAAATTTCAAGTCTGTACCTTATTTGAAACAGATGCAGAACAAAAACCAGAACTTTCTATCAGCTGTTAAGAGCCGCAGAAGCTTTCAGTCCTCTGTCAGTAGTGCTCTGTATACTAAATAACTTCTCACATACTGGATTCAGTCCCCAAAATCTGCCAGTTTAACACTAAATCCCCTTCCTTGCTCTCACTCTGTGAGTGCGTGTACGTAGATTTTGAGAAGCGCCTCTGGATTAGGAGGGACTGCTTTGGGAGATGCATTGAACCTTACCTGTCATCAGCATTGCGGAGAGATGGGAGACGGAAACTCGTGTTCCTGTCCAGCTTCGACTGACTCTTTGTCCTCTTGATGGACCCTTTCAGACGTTTACTGAAGAAACCCTACAACGAGAAGTTGCAAAAGTGAAACAGGGAAAACGATGCCAGTAAGAAATCAATCAGAGCGCTGTCACTGAGTCCGGACTCAGCAGTGATTCCCACTGACACGGTTACAGGATGTGATGCATTGGAATTCCTCTGAGCAGGGAGAAAGGCAGGGCTAGATGGTCACTGACAGCTCCAGCTTGGGATGGCTTCAAATGGCAATAATTAGCACTACTCACATTACAGGTGCACTTCAAAGAATTCTAACTATGACACAAGAGACCAAAAATCCCACAATTATCATTTCAGAAGGAGCAGTCAGACATCAGTATTTATTCCCACCTCCCCTTTAGAGAGCATGGTTTTGGTCAGATTAAGTGTACGAGATGTTTTTTATCATAAGCTTCCATTACACCAGCAGTTACACCCAGGTTTTCCTTTTTAAAATTCAAATATAGCAAGCAAATCTTACAATAATTTGTAATTTCAATAGTCACACTAGCCAGAATTAAAAATTTCAAAAGGTTTCACACACTAGTGATTCAGCTACCAGTCCTGGTGTCACTCTGAAGCAAAGCTCAGCTCCAAAATCTACCTACGACCTGAAAATACCAAATCTTCAAGTAATCTGTCTATTGAACTCCAGTTGTCCGCCAGTCGCAGACCAGAGACAGGTTAGTTGAGGGAGCCTCTGGGGATCATCTGGCCTGGCCCCTGCTCCATGTGGGTTAACGGCCAGCACTAGGACAGCCTAACCCTGACTTCATTAAGCCAAGTCTCAAAACCTGTGGTGATGGAGATTTTACCCCCTCTCTGGGCAACTCAGCCCAGTGCTGTATTCCCTTCCAGTGGGAGAAATTTCCCTTGTGTTCGACAGAGCCCTCGCAAGCAGCAACCCGCAGCTGCTCCCTCAGTACAGCATCTGCCACTACAGGGAAAAAGTTTGGCTCCATCATCTCGTAACTCCCTTTCCCAGTGCAGCAGGCTGCCTCACATCAACCCTTCACCCTTTCTTCCCCAGATACACAAATCCTCAACCTCTCCTCATAGTTCCCTTCTTGCTGAGATCATCAAGAGCTATTGCTGTGTTACCGGGAATGAAATACAAGTCCACCTACCCCTGATACACAAAGGGGCAGGTGGGGAAAGCACAGAAAGATTGCAAAGCCCGCACCTTTGATTTTCCTCCTTTAAATTTCTTGGAGCATAATAACACAGAATGGTTTGTGTTGGAAGGGACCTTAAAGATGACCCAGTCCCACCCCCTGCCATGGGCAGGGACACCTTCCACCAGACCAGGTTGCTCCAAGCCTCATCCAGCCTGGCCTTGGACACTTCCAGGGATGGGGCATCCACAGCTTCTCTGGGCAACCTGTCCCAGTGCCTCTCCACCCTCTGCGGGAAGAATTTCTTCCTGATGTCCAATCTCAACCTCCCTCTTTCAATTTAAATCCATTAACCCTTGTCCTGTCACTACAGGCCCTTGTGAAACGTCCCCCTCCAGCATTCTTATTCCTTGTAATATGCATAAATAAACTACATGGTGTCGAAGCATTGCCAGGGCTTGCAGACATACCTACACATGCATTTTTAATACAGAGGTTCTTATTCCAAGAGAATTAAGCAACACTTTACTGGCCGAATCTGTTCTGCTCCTTCACAGAAGAGCTGCACGGAGCCACTGCATCCCCGCACACGGCTGTCGGGATATTTACCGAACACATGCAAGTGAAAGCACATGTGCTCAGAATATTATGGGCTGGTTCTAGGTTGGTAGAATTTGCTCCAAGTGATGTTTTTTGGTGTGGATCAAAGCAGATCTCCAGCCTTACTTCAGCCAAGGTCTAGTGCCAGCCACAGCCAGGGCCAGCCCTCTCTCTCATTACCCGCGTTTTGCTGGAGAGAATCACAGAATGGTTTG